TAGTGACTGGAACGTTCTAGAGTATGCTGGAATCGGACCATCGGGAAGAATCTAGAAACGACGCTTGCGAAGAGTATATAAGCGCACGTCGCAAGATATTTGTGATTGGTGATATTCGTGATTGGTGATATTCGTGATTGGTGATATTCGTGATTGGGATATTCGTGATTAGTGATATTCGTGATTAGTGATATTCGTGATTAGTGAAATTCGTGATTTTGTGAATAGCGATTCGGTGAATTATTTAAAGCGATATTTGAATTGTTTGTTGACGTTGTCATAGCGATAGATTTTGAAAGATTTAAAAGTTAATTGTTGCGTTAGTGCGAATTTACTGGAAATAAACGATTAGTTGATTTCTTCTGTAAATAAAGTTTAATAACTAATAATAGTTGATTTCTTCTGTAAATAAAGTTTAATAACTGTTTGGAGTATTTTATTCAATCGAAGATTTGAACCCGTCGCATCGTAAACCGGTTACGACAGCGAGTATTATAACAATATGTATATCATACATACATATATATATATATATATATATATATATATATATATATATATATATATATATATATATTGCTCAAGGCATGTTTTAAATTTTGTTCGTCAAATTCAAGAGAAATACAGTAAAAGTCGGCAAGGGAGGACACCGATTGAGAATGCTCAAACTGTCCACTTCTCTCAACCGTCCTCTACTGAAGACTCAACATTAAATTTTAATTATGATATCAGGGTATTGTACTTACAAGTAAAACTAAATAACAGCTTTTGTATGCATTTTTATTTAGCCAACAGATCTTCGATGGTTAATGGTTATCTCATTTTATAAAACATTTTTAATGGATTAAAAAAATTTATTCCTTCATTGCCTTAACAATAATATAATTGAATAGCATATAATTGAATAATATGTTAGTTTCCTGGCATATTCTACAGCCGTCCCTGCAGATATAATTTCTTGGCTGGGTGCCCTTCTTCTTCACAATAATATTGATCTTCAATATGACCAAGATTTGTAGTAGACGATGGCGCATGGGTTGAACTGTCGTTGTTACCCATAGTTATATAATCCTTCCAAGTCATTTTTTGTTTCAAGGTCAAACATTTTTTTGCTTGCAACACTATTATCGATGATGAACAATGATATAACGACGAAAATAACAAGATTACAATAAATAAAACGAAAAAAAAAAATTTGAAAAGCGAACCAAAGACTAATAAAGTTTTGTTGGCGCATTTTTGTAAAACGTAAAAATATATTTGGTCATAAATTGTCCGCTTTTTCAGACTTAAAAGTCATTTTGTACAAAAAAGCCTATCCGCATGTCGTTAGTTCAATATGTCCGTTCTTCAGAAGAAATTTAAATTTAACATACAAAACGGTTCCGTGCCGAGCAACACCGCCCGTTCCTCTTAACTTTCCGCTTTTTAGGATTTCGCTCTTCAGGACTTTTTACCACATTTTATATATCTGAAAGAAAATATCGAGGAATTCAGAAATTATTTATAAAATGTGTTTCCCAAGTCAATTCCTTGTCATCTTTATCATTCATTACTCCATCCTTACTTGTTATATGGTATTAATGTTTGAGGTTGTGGGTTAAAACTCATCTATTGTTACCAATTTGTTGCCAAATTTCTTTTATTGAAATTTATTTTAACTTGAAAAAATTGATCACACCTCTGAATATTTTATACTCTTAACTTATTGTTTATTAATCAATTATATATTTAAGAGTCTTACATTTTTTTTATAAACTAATATAATTATCAAAATGTATCCTCAATTTCATTTTTATTTAATAACTACATCACTCAATACTCGTTTTTCAATACTCGTTTTAACATAAAGGTTAAAGGTCAATTACACTCTTCCAAAGTTCAGAGGATTCAACAAAGCGCATAACACCGTATACGAATACGTGCTAAACGACGCATCACACCCGACGCATGTGATAGGCGGGGATCTTTTTGTCATATTCGAACCCGGTTACTACGAAACAGCACCAGGCGACCTTAACCACTAGGCCATCACGCCGCCCAACATACACCAATATATAGCGCTAATTTTTCTCGCGCTGTTTCATTTTCTACTTCTCTTTTAAATTTTGGTATCAAATTGTGGCTAATCTGATACCAGATATAACTATTTATAAATTTAAGAAAGATGTTGAAAATTAACTGATAATCGCTTGATTGAATGCGCATCATTTTTTGTATCAATAATTCGTAATTGTTTCAATTAAATAAAATCAAATAAAACAATCCGTTATTTGCATACACATAACTATGAATGCGACGGATCCGAATCGACTTTTCTAAACGTAACGCTAGAGATTCGATAAAAATAGGGTTCACGATTATCGAACAAAATTTAAAAAAATTAGTTTAATTAAATATTTTTAACTACAAACTGATGTGAAAGCTTTTTTGAATTACGTGTTAATCTTGTTCAGCACTTGATTGTAATTATAGCCGAGTCATACATCTCTATTTTCTACGTGATACAACGACGTGGGCTGAAGCGGCATTCCATCACATGAGGTGCGTTTCTAGATAAGTTGTTTCTGTTTACTGTGTTAATTCAGCGGCGTTTCAAATTGTCTTTAAACTCTTGCAGTTTGAAGCAAATGATTTCAAAGTTTGTTTTGAATAGACTATGGCAAATGTGCTTCAAAGGCACAAATTACGAAATAAAAATCCTTGTGAAATTCATGAGAATGCAAAAATATATTGATTCATGTCAGTCTCTTGTTTTGTAAATATTTTGTTTATTCTAATTTCAATTTTATTGCTAAGTTTTTGCTGTAGGTTGCTAACAACAAATATTTGCATAAATATAAGAACCAAAGGACGTCGATCACAATTCAGATATGTCCAAATATCTCACTTAGATTCAGATTCTAATATTAATCTTGATTTTTTTTGGGTTCGTTCCATTTCTAATGAAAAACAAAAGAATCTAGACTGTAAATACCTGTAATAAAATATTTTGTTGCTGCTATACCGTCGTGGAATTAACTAAATACAATACATTACATAACAAAATATGCCACTCCATGTAGCCTATCTTGATTCGTACATGGGACACAGTGCATTTTTTTGAGACCCAGCATAGGGTGCACTTAATATTTTTGTTTTTTAGAATACGATCAATACATTGTCTAAAAACGTGATAACTTGAAAGAAACGAGTTACCGATCACTTTTAGGTTTATTCTAACAAATTCTGAAAGAAAAAAAAATTATATTTAGGTAGTTACAACTTAATTAAATTAAAAATTATGACCTGTTGTATTAATTGCTGTATTGAAAAATGAACCAGGTATAATGGTTAAACCGGTAAAAATAAAGTTAACTTTACTACGTTCAACCGGTTCAATGTTAATGGTTTTTTTAATTTAAATATTGTATTATTTATTTAAACGTAAGTCTAATTGTAATAATTTAAACGTATTCAAGTCATCTCTTTTTCTAAAAAAAATCATTTCGTTATCGGTTCTTCTACACTGCAATTAACATGGTTAACCGTTAATTTAAAATATTAACATCTGTGGTGGCGTATCAGAAAATCGATAAACAAACCCATATTATTTTATTTTTTTTTAAATAATTACTGCTAAAAAAGACTATCATTTATAACTTTAACCATATACAATACACTATCGTATCCACACGAGCACCATGTTTTGATTTGATATCGTATCGAATCAGAAGATTTCAAATCGCTTCTTTAATTCTCTCAAAGCGCGTCCAACTTCCAACAATGCTTGTATACATGCAATAGCCCATATATGATTCAACATAAATGTGCCATCCCTACAAAAATCAAATTACTCTCAAAAATTATTGCTTTGCTATTTCGGTTATTAGAAAAGTTAAGTTACGAAAGCTCTAAAGAAACTTTTAGATTTCTTTGCAATCTTTCTATTTGTTGAAAAAAACATGACGTCGGCCCATTGTGAACACAATAGAAAATTTGTTAGCAACAAGTATCACAAAGTAACACTATGGCATCTAGTAATGAACATGCATAAGCTTTAAATTTTTGCTCTATCAAATGACAGTATTCACTCGCAATTAATATAACCTTGTTAAAATGACCGACCAACATGTGTTATTGGAAATTACTAAAAAGATAACACCCTACATAAATTTAAAACTCTATTGTTTTAGTAATATTTCAACAATCTAAAGTTAAAAGGAAAGTGCTGTGGAAATGAAATATGTAATGTCTGATGTAATACTAAAGCAGTCAAACCCCATATCTTGTGTTTTTGGTTTAAACAAACAGGCAACTTATATATTACGGAATTGGTATTAAAAGTAGTGTAAGCCCAATTTGTTTTCAACATCAAAGATTCTAAAGAGCATGAAAAAACTTCAAGTACCTGTTGACAAACAAAATAATAATAAAAGCTAACAACAATGAACATATTACTCTAATAAAAATTACTTAATTTTACCTCTGTATAGTTAATCTTCAGAGATTCGATTTCTATATCGGAGCAAAAAGCTATAACAGGAGTGACTAGCGTTTCAAAGTTCTTTAAAAAAAACAAATAATTAATATTAAATATGATTATATAGCCAGAGTCCGGTCCGCAAAACCACAACCGCGGATTTCGGCGGTTTTATTCGACTGCGGTTTGGTGCGGTTTTAAAGTTTCTAACCGCATGAAAATCAATTTTTTGCGGCTAAAATGTTATTCCATTGCCATGTGTGACAGTTTCAGTTATTTTTATTTGTTTAAATTTAATGTTATTAAACTTAGATTTCTTTGCTTCGTTCGATTTCTACTTGCTTTTTCACAGGGTGTGCAGATAAAATAAAATAATAAATTGTAAAAACTCTCCATATTTCATGAGACATTTTTTCGGTATAATCAATCAATTTCACAAAAATTTAGGGCGGGGTGATGACTAAGTGGCTAAGGTCACCTGATCTGTTACGCAGTGACTGGGTTCGAATGCGTTTAATTGCGGGCGGTTGTAGTCTTTTAGCTGCAATTGCATGTGGTTTCAAATCTGGTAGTTGCGGACGGTTGAGATTTTTCTTGTCGCGGTTTCGAAAATGTTAACGGGAGATGGCTCTATTAACATGCAAAAGCAACAAATAATAGTCCTACAAACTCTGCTTGGCATCGGTGCAAGTTCTCCTAGTATGTGAATTCTATTCCTATCTAAGCCAATCTCCTCCTCAGACTCCCTTAGAGCGGTTTCAAAAATCGTTAAATCAGTTTCATCGTACATGCCCCCCGGGAAACTTTAAAAAAATCATTACAAGTAAATAACTGATATAAAATCTTCTCAAATTTTAATTTTCAAACCTTACTTGACCACTGTGATTGGACAAGTTTAGAGACCTAACTGTGAAGAGAACTGAAGGAACGCGATTAACATTACAAAACGGCACAAGGACAGCTGCCTTTTTTCTAATTTTTTTATTTAAATCAGGGAACAATTTAAATTTTGAAGAACTTGAATCCAACAGACGTTTCTGAAATTTTTATCTTTGAATTGAATTGAAAGCACAAGCATTTTTAATGGAAAAAAAAGAATAATTTTAAATCAATGCAAAAACCGCCACAAAATAATGAAACTTAATATAAAATAATAATTTTCTAATTAGAATCCTAAATAACGTGTTCAATATTAAAGCTGGATAAAAATATATGTAAAAATAATAGAATTTTTTCCAAGCAGATGTGTTTGGAAAAAATTAATATTAATTTTTAACATTTTCATTGAAAAAAACAAGAGATTGAAAATAAAAAAACAAATCAATTACATAAACATCCAATTCTGATATCAAATCATCGGACTCCAAAAAGAAACAACTTACTTTATTTAACGACTGCTCGTTCACACTCCACCAAACGATCCATGATCACTTCTTCACTCCACCACACAATCCATAATCACTTCTTCCTTTCACCACACAATCCATGATCGCTCCTTCACTCCAACACACAATCCATGATCACTCTCTTCACCCAACCATACAATCCATGATCAATCTCTCCCCTCCACCACACAATCTATAATCACTCTCTTCATTCTCCACACAAAAGAAGCCAGCATGCAACCATCAACACACATCTGCCAATCATTAAACAATCCAAGCTAATCGGCGTAAACATCGATAAATCCTTTAACTTCTGAAAACATGGACAAATAATCACTAATAGAAGACAGCAAATCACATGAAGATAGAAACAATAGAGATAACACAAAGACACCCAAACAGAGCACTCTGTCGAGTTACCGTCAACTATGCAGCACCTATCTGGCTACCTACCACCTCACCTCGACCTACAAAATCTATACAAAACTCCACTCTGGCTCAACAATAGCTCAGCCTCAAAATAGCTCCCATTAATCATTTCCATTACGAGGCGCACGTCTTGTCAGTGTCCCAACACTTTACACTTTAAACAGATCAATGTTTCGCTCAATGCCATGATTCCACAATAACCATATAAACCACCAACTAATCAATGCACCCCAACTAACGCGACTCAGACATATGACTACTGGACAACCGTGACCACGGAGACATAATTAGAAAGACATAATTAAAAGAGTCAACACAACCACAATGCACATTGAAATTCAGTCCAACACAATACTCAACTCTCAACTTTTTTCAATCAACTAATCTGAACATTCACTTCCACTCAGAACAAGATCCACATTAGCCCAACTCCTTTGTAGCTATTCAGATTCAACCAAACGATAATAAGCAATGCCATCAACGTTTATTGTTCAGCAAAGTCAACCAACTTAATCGCAACCAACTCTGGCACTCAGCCAGTGGTGATTGCTCCAGAACTCACTGGCCATGTGGACGAATTACGACAGCAACATGTAATGATGATAAGCACACAAAACATGAAATATAGAGTAAGAAAGGTGGTACATCAGAGACAAAATAAATCAGAACTGCCTTCGTTAACAATGACAAGTTCTTTTAAATTAAACGTCTTATCAAATGAATGAACATTATTTGATTTGACATCAACATCGACTTGGTAATCATCGAAAAATTTTAAAAGTAATTTTTCCAAACTAGAGACTACATTCAATAAAGAAAAAACTGTTAGTATATGCCAGCTAGTTTGTTAGACTTTTAAAATCCAATAATGCCTTGTTCTTATAACTATTCAATATGATCATCAAGTGATCACCAACAACAAAATTATATCTCTATCCACAGTTTTATTCTTCTTTTAGAATTAAGATATAAACAAATGTTTCAAAACTTCAAAACATGCATTTCTTTTATCAAATGAAACGAATTTATAGTTATTGAGTCAGACACACACTCATTTAAATATATGCAGGGTTGTTAACAATACCAAAAAATTGCATTCCCAATACCAATACTTTCGTCATTTTTAATCAATGTCACGTGAAGTTGAATGCTCACATTTATGAAAAAACTAAGGACGAAGAAGTGTCATTCAAATACTTAAAAACCCCATTTGTATGGTCTGCCGAAATTGTTTTTATCAAATTTTTTGATGTCAACAATAAAAAAAATCTGTTGAGTTTTTTGAAATTTGTATTGATTTTTGTGTTGCTGTGCAAGGTTTCTGTTCTTTGACCAGGAATCTAATTTGCTGAATGATATCATTTTGTTGATACACACCATCTGTCCAGCATATCTGGAATCTTGGATGCAGAGCTGCAGAAAGCTTTGCCTGTGAATCACAGATAGCAGAAAACCTTCTGAGCAGGCTGCTTAAAATTGTCTTTACAAGAGGTTCACAAACTGTTAGTGGATTGAGATTTCTATTAATCATCAACAAAAAAGGCGTAATAGTAAACATTTTGGAAACGTATAGAAAATAAGAGGACATAAAAATTTTAAATTAGAATAAACGATAACTTTGAATATAAAAATATTTGATAAAAATTCAACATTTTGATCAAAAGTATTGGTATTGACTATCGAAATTTTTTGGTTTACAAAGTATTTTCGATATCAAATTCGATACCACGTAACAAATGTATTGTCGGCACAGTAGTCAATACTGAAAACGTATCGAGAATACAAAATCGACGATTACTTCAATATTAACAACCCTGCATATAGGCCATTTCTAAAAACCCGCGAAATTTAAACACAGAAAACATCACAAGATACCTTCATTTGATTGAGGCAACGATCGTCAAAGAAATTATTGAACTGTGTGGACATCAACCTTGCATGCCTCTTCCATTCACAATTTAACATTGACAGCATGTGATGCTGATATTTTATGACACACTTCTAATTTGTTATAAAACCTTTGTACGATGTTTTTAAAAATAATCGTTAAATAAATTTGCCTGTAAATTAATTTTTAAAGAGTTTAATTAAAATCATAAAATGTTAACATGAAAAGTAGTAATAATTTTCATGCAAATGCAACTGCTACAAATTTTTATAAACTGCAGAATTGAATATTTGATAGATTAAAGTTATAATAGCAAGCCAGTGGCTGGCTGATCTAGATAACTTTGATGGCCCAAAATTTTGACGGAGGGCCAAAATTTTGACGGGGACCCAAAATATTGATGGAGGACCCAAAATTTTGACGGGGGTGCCAAAAATTTGTAGTAATGTAGCTGACGACCTTTTTTTGGTAAATTTTATACATAAAACGGTCCTTTTTCTGACTTTTATTAAAAAGATTGTTCACAACTGACAAACCCCCTAGATACGCCACAGTGGCCAGCTGTATATAACAAAGTTCTTTTGTACTTACAATAATAACTTAAAAATAATGACTCTAAGTGTCTAAAAAGAAAAAAACTTTGAAAAATAGTATTTTGCTTTTACTTTTTATCAGCAAAATGTTGGTTATATATTATATTATATTACGATAAGAGCGTTTGTGAGAACATTTTTTTGTTTATCAAGTGCTGTATAAACAATCTCTAAGACAATAATAATAACAACAACATTGAGTTTTATAAGAATCTACCTATTAATATCTAAAATTTAAAATACATTTACATAAATCATATATGCAAAACAAACAGCCTACAATAAGATATTGATTGCCAAAAGCAAAAGACTATGTAAAATTATTTAAATTCATGTAAGTGTTTACTGATTCTGTTAGCTTTTGAATTTTTAAAATGATCATTTAATTAGCTGTAAAATGATGTATTAAGCATATAAGTAATGAAACAGCAGTCACTTTCACAATCTAAGGTTGAGGTCAGTTAATTATAAATTATATAACAAGTGACAGTAAATGCAAAATATTCAAATAGAGGCAATAATGCAATTGGATATGCAGCATCTGACAATTAACTTCATTATTCTTTGTATTAAAAATATTTATTCAAAAATTTTCAATTAGCAGTAAGGTAAATGTTTAGATCAAATTTCATTGAAATTTGTAGTCTTGGCCAAAGCGGTTGCTAATCATCGCTAAGGGGCTGTCCACAAAGGATGTCACGCTTTTTTTGACCCCTCTTCCCCCGTGTCACAAACTGTCACAAATCGACCAACCCACCAAAAATAAGTATGCCACAAAACTTTACCCCCCCCCCCCCTTTAATAAAGAGTCATTTAAACAATGTAATTGTTCTATGCACTTTTTTTATTCTTTATTAATAACAAAAATATAGAGTATATAAACTATAAAGAATGACAAGTTTATAGGACGATAGTTTGATATCTTGATATCTAAATGCTTTACAGTAGTTAAAATATAACAAACTAACTTTAAATTAAATTAACTATTAATTATCTATAAAAAAAAAGTTTACTTTTTTACTTTAGTTTTAAGTTTTTTATTTAACATTTTATTTAAAGATATTATACTAATACTTAGCGTAGCATCTCTATTAATATATAGATAATGCAAATTTATTTAAATATATAGCATAATACTGCATCTAATTTGTCAGAATGTTTGATCGGTGTTTCTAAAACCTTAAAATCAGCAGACCTTCAAAAAGTGACAAATGATTTGTTTACAAAAACGTGTTTAAAAGTAAATAGCGATAACAAATATTTTTACCATTTTATAAACACACATACATTATTCTAATTATATGTACCGTGTTAAGTGTTTAGAGTATTTAAATACTTAAATAGTAGTTGAATACGCACCCCAATGATAAAGGTTTATAAAATACTTAATAAAATAGCAGTATTTTGATAGTATTTAAATACTTTTTCGGGGTACTTATTATTTAAAAAATTTAATTACTTTATATAAAATTTGCTTTATCAATCACTTATTCCACTTTTAATATTTAGCTGTGAAGAGAAAATAGCAGATGTGTGCAAGGTTTTTGGCTTAACCCCACTGTTTTTTAGTTTTTTTTTTTTTTTTTTTTAGTTTTTTAGTTTTTTAAAAATACTCAACAGCAATGTCTCCAGTAGCCGCAAGTCTCGACATTCTGTAGGGAGACAAGACTTGTTCA